TTGTTTTTCAATGCAGCATAGTATTCCATTGTGTGAATATACCACAGCTTCTCTATCCATTCATTTGTTGATGGTTGCACCTTCTTCTGTAGCTGTTCAAATACCTCCTTAGCAACATATTTCTCCAGGTTCTCTGTATCTGGAGTTTTCATTGGGTCTATTTTTTTAGAAGAGGCTTATTTTCTTTTTTCATGATGCTTGAGGCAGCCTGCTGATTTCTTTCTTTTTTCTTTTATTGTTGTTGTTGTTATTGTGTACCGTCAAGTTAGATCTGACTGGCACAGGAGGAGATTATCCCTCCTTCTCAGCGGAGCATCTAGTAGATTCAAACTACATGCAGTACATCTTCTTGCCAATAGGCCACCAGAACTCCCTAACCAGCTGCTTTCTTGAGATTATGTGAATCTGTTCTTAATAGATGTTAGGGTGTCATCACTATGTAGTGTCCCAGGGTAGGGTGATGTTCTGTGAAGGACCTGTATATTGGTGTTTCCCTCTTGGTCCCTGGGTCTATGGCCCAAAATCTCAAAGCAGGATTAGTGTTTCCCTCCAGAAACCGTGGCCATTCCATGCCTCTTGCATTTAAGAAATCCCAAGCTCCCCACATGTTGTAGACAGCAGAGTTCAAAGGCAAGGTACCTAAATGGTGGAATGCAGAAATCTGTTGCCCTCTGGAAACCATGGTTGTTTCATGCCTCTTTTAGCTGCACTTCTTCCAAGACAGATTTGTTTGGTTTTTTCCTGGAAGTGCATGGCATAGTCAATATTCTTCATCAATACCGCTAATCAAAGGCATCAATTCTTCTTTGGCCTTCTTGGTTCATTATCCAACTTCCACATATATAGGGGTACCTATATTATATTAGTCTTTTCACTGATATTCTTGATCTTTACCACTTTAAAGAGGTCTTTGACCACACATTTCCCCAGTGCAACCCCTCTTTGGATTTCCTAACTGCTATTACCATTGGTGTTGATTGTGCATCCAAATAAAATGAATATGTTGAAAACTTCAATATTTTTTTCCATCATGATGCTTGTTGCCTATAGATCCAGTAGTAAGGATTTTTGTTTTCTTGATGATGAGATGTAATCTATATTTAAGGTTGTAGTCTTTGAGCATCAATAAGTGCTTCAAGTCTTTTTCACCTTCTGCAAGCAAATTTGTATAATCTGAATAACACAGGTTGTTGATGAGTCGTAATCCAACCCTGATGCTACATTCTTATTCTTAAGAATCCAGCTTCTCAAATTATTTTCCTAGCATAAAAATTTAATAGGTGTGAGAAGAGAGTTACTATGATGATACATACCTTTCCTGATTTTAAAGCATGCAGTGTTCCCTTGTTCTTTTTAAATAACTGCTTTTGGTCTAAGTTTTACATGAGGACAATTAAGTGTTCTGGAATTCCAGTGCTTCTCCATATTATCCCTAATTTGTTATGATCCACACAGTTTAAAGCCTTTTGTTATTGCTATGTGCCTTCAAGTCAGAACTGACTCAGAACTGACTCTCCAGCAGGTTTTCAGAGGCAGTTGATCACACGGGAGGAGACTGCCTATCTTTCGTCAGTACAGCAGTTGGTGGATTTGAACTGCATGCTTTTGGTTTGGCAGTGCAACTCCTTACTACTAAGCCACCAGAACTTCTATGTTAAATGCTTTTATACAGTAAAGAAAACACAAGTAAACATGCTTTTTTTCTGGAATTCTCTGCTTTCAACTAAGATCCGTCTGAAATTTAAGGAGATTTTGAAAAGAAGGTAATTACCTGCTTTCTTTAAAAAGAAGAGCTAAAGAGTAAAGTTACCAGTTTAGACTAAAGTGTACTTGAGCCTTGATCAGAAGAAATCGGAAAGAAGGATGAATAGAAATGGGAAAGTAGGTCGGAAATGGGAAGAGTGTTGATGCATTATGAAGATTACAGTCAGAATTACCAATCTACATGCATAATAATGACACATAATAATGGCCCAGCATCAGACATCTTCCAGTGGTAGGGATCTTGATGAATGCCTCTGCATTCCAGTTCTATTCATCATAACCTCATATGGCTTCATCTTCAAATCTTTTTTGCAACAAGAAGCTAGCACACTGAAAAATTACAATCACTGTGAACCTGTTATTTTTTCATTCAGACTTTAATTTTATATAATTTATTTCACTGTTTGTTAGGGAAATCTGCACTTCAGAGAGAGGAAGAATCAAAGGCAAGGCAAGTTCCCATCCTGGTCAATTCCCCAGGCAAAAGGAACTTTCCCACCAGCTACAAAATCAGAAAGGATTTCACATTTATTAGCAGCAATAAAAGTTATGATCAAAGATATTTCATGATTGTTGTTGTTAGGTGTAGTCAAGTCACTTGCGACTCATAGCGCACACATCTCTGAACCCAGCTCTATCCTGAGCCAACCTTATTGTCTCTGACACACCTTCCCCCATTACCCCAGTCACTGAGTCAGTCCATCTCCTCCAGAGTCTTCCTCTCTTGTGCTGTACCTCCACCCTCCCAAGTATGACATCCCTCTCTAAGGACTTGGTCCCTCCTTGCAACATGTCCAGAGTACATCAGACGAAGCTTCTGAATCCTTGTCTCCAAGGAGCAGCCAGGTTTCACCCTCTCCAGGGCAAACTTGTTTTCCTGGAAGTTGATGGTATATTCAGTACTCTTCTCTAGCACCACAGCTCAAAGGCATCAATTCTCCTTTTATCATCCCTAGTCACTGTCTAGCTTTTTGATGCACAGCAAGTAATGACAAAGACTATGGCCCAGATCAAGTGCACCTTAGCCTCCAGACTGGTATCGCTGCTCTTCAGGACTCTGGAGATTTCCCTGACAGCAATTCATCTTTTTATTTTCTGACTCCTGGTACCAAGTGTTGACTGTGGAGCCAAGCAAATTAAAGCTGTTAACAATCTCAGTCTCTTCAGCATCCATCATGATTCTGCCAATCGGCCCAGTGATGAGAATCTTTGTCTTCTCGATGTTGAGCTTCAATCCATATCAGTCCTTGACCTTCTGCAGCAAGCGCTTCTGGTCCTCCTCAGTTTTTCAGTAAGCAGGGTTGTGTCATCTGTATAACGCAGATTGTTGATGAGTCTTCCTCCATTCTGGTTGCCACATTCCTCCTCATAGAGCCCAGCTTCCTGGATGATCTGTTGTGCATATAGATTGAAAAGGTATTGGAGATAAGACACAACCCTATAGTACACACCCTTCATGACCTTGAACCATGCAGTGTTTCCCTGCTCTGCTCTAATGACTGCCTCCTGGTCCAAGTACAGGTTTCACATAGCACAATCAAGTGTTCTGTGATTCCATTCTTCTCAGAGACAGCTTTAGCAAACCAATATAAAATTAAAATTATTAAAACAAAAGAACAGCAGGGAGAAAAGAATGGAGAGAGAGAGAAAGCTGTTTGATGTCAAGGAAGAGCTCTCTCTGAAAAGTCAGTAAGAACTGGCATGGAAGTCGTGACCCATGACAGTTTAAAATAACTCATTTTCTTGGCAGTATCATCTTCCTTGTGCATTCATCCTCTAGACAAATGGGATGATTTACCAGCTCTGAGCGAGCATGTGCATTGTCATGTCTTTGTTCATACTGTTCTCTCTGCCTTGAGACCACTCCTCTTCATCTATTCCCACTAAATTCAGGTTCAGACTAAAATATCACTTCCACCTTGACCAAAAGTTGAAGTCTCAACCCGAAACCCCTTAGAAAGTAAAGAATTGCTAAAGAAAAGGAATCACATACAGAAATAGAAAAAAAGAAGAAACCAAAACACCTCTCATTGTCATTGGATCAGGAGGACTCATAGCTCATAGCTGACCCCACAGCAGATTTCCAGAGGCTGTAAATTATACAGGAGGATATTGCCCATCTTTCTCTCTTGGAGGGCCTGGTGGATTCAGTCCACCAGAGAGGGAATTAGCAGCCTAACTGCTTACTCAAGTTACCCTGAGTTGCCTAAAGATTTATGTAAAAAATTAGATAAAAGCTTACTAACTGTACATCTGCTTCACTTCTCACTCACCAACTGTCACACTTGTCAAGATTTCACATTTATGGCAATACTGAATAATCTGACTATTTGGTGAACTAATGCTGTGTGTCTTCCAATACGAATGCCACGGTGCCTGGTGAGAGGAACACTGGCTGTGATGGTTAAGGTTTGTGTCAATTTTTCTGTCAGTTTTGCAGATGATTCTTAGTGGTTTGGCAGTTAAGAAATGATGTAATTAGACAGTTATGTAATTATATAGTCATCCTCCGTTTTGTGATCTGATATGATCATCCTCTATTTTTGCAAAACGTTGACTGTTTTTTAATATAACTTGGGTTTTGGACCCTAATAATAATTAAAAAACCAAAACAAAACCCTCATAGGAAGCATGGGGAAGCTCTATTAATTTTGGCATGAAATGCCTGGTGAATTATATTATATTTCTATTTTGTAGGAAAAGATGACTTTCCAGTTTGTACCTTTCACCTGCCTTTTACTGCTCATCTCCAGTATCTGTGGGTTCTTTGTTGAAGCAAACTATCCTAGAAGCTATCCTTGTGATGAGAAAAAGGAGAATTCCTCAATTATTGCAGAATGCAACTATCGCCAGCTGAAAGAAGTTCCCCAAACAGTGGGCAGGTATGTGACAGAGCTAGACTTGTCTGAGAATTTCATCACTCACATAACAAATGAATCATTTGAAGGGCTTCAAAATCTTACTAAAATCAATTTAAACTACAATGCGAAGCTCCTGCATCAGAATGAAAACCCTAATGTGAATAAAGTTGGCATGAAAATTGCACATGGGGCTTTCCAGAACCTAAAATATCTAAAAGAGTTACTGCTTGAAGACAACCAGTTATGCAGAATACCCACTGGTTTGCCAGCATCTTTGGAAGCACTTAGTCTAATCCAAAACAATATCACAGTGGTGACCAAACGGAACACTTCAGAGCTAGTGAACCTGAGGAGCCTTTTTTTAGGTTGGAACTGCTATTTTGGCCATGACTGTAACAAAACATTTGAAATAGAAAATGGAGCCTTTGAGAAGCTTACACATTTGAAGGTGCTGTCACTGTCTTTCAATACTCTCTACCACGTGCCACCGAATCTGCCCAGCTCGCTGTCAGAGCTTTATCTCAGCAACACTAAGATCCAAAACATCAGTCAGGAAGACTTCAGGGAATTGACAAATTTAAATCTACTCGATTTAAGTGGGAACTGTCCAAGGTGTTTCAACGCTCCGTTTCCATGTGAACCTTGTCAAAAAAACACTTCGCTTCAGATTCATCCCCTTGCTTTTCAAACTCTGACCCAACTTCACTACCTAAACCTTTCCAGCACTTCCCTCTCTACTGTTCCTGCAAGCTGGTTTTATAATATGAGTAATCTGAAGGCTCTATACCTTGAATTCAACTACTTAGTAAGTGAAATAGCCACTGGGAATTTTTTATTATACCTGCCAAGGTTACAAATCCTTGACTTATCTTTTAACTATAAGTTGACAGACTATCCCCAGCATATTAACATATCCAAAAACTTTGCTAAGCTTACATCTCTCCAGGTGTTGCATTTAAGAGGTTATGTCTTCCAGGAACTTAAAGAAAAAGACTTCCAACCTCTGATGGAGCTCGCCAACTTAAGGACTATCAACTTGGGCATTAACTTCATAAAACAAATCGATTTTACCATTTTCCAATACTTCCACAACCTGAGTGTTATTTATTTGTCAGAAAACAGAATATTACCCCTGGTGAATGACTCGAAAACTGGTTCTTCTTCCCAAAGCCATATTCTGAAACCACGCTCAGCACACAGTAAGTTTGACCCACACTCAAATTTTTATCATAACACCAATCCTCTAGTAAAGCCACAGTGCAGCAAGTATGGCAGAACCTTAGATTTAAGCTTGAACAGCATTTTCTTCATTGGGGCAAAGCAGTTTCAAGGTTTTGGTGACATCGCCTGCTTAAATCTATCTTCTAACGGCAATGCCCAAGTGCTGCATGGATTGGAGTTTGCAGCTGTGCGTGGGGTCAGATACCTGGATCTGACAAACAACAGACTCGACTTTGATGACGACAACGCTCTCCAGGAACTGACTCAGTTAGAAGTTCTGGATCTCAGCTACAACTCGCACTATTTCCGAATCGCCGGTGTCACACATCGCCTAGGGTTTATTAAGAATCTGAAACATCTCCAAGTTTTAAACTTGAGCCACAACAGCATTTACACGCTAACAGAGTTTGAGCTGGTCAGCGTGTCCCTGAAGGAGTTAGTTTTCCGTGGCAACCGCCTTGACCTTCTGTGGTACGGTCATGACAGCAGGTACTGGCACATCTTCTCATCACTGGGCAACCTGACGCAGCTTGATATATCCTTTAATAAACTGCGACACATCCCGGATGAAGCCTTCTGTAACCTGCCCCATAATCTCACAGAGCTTTATATAAACAATAATATGTTAAGGTTCTTTAACTGGTCACTCCTGCAGCATTTTACTCGCCTCACGTTGCTTGACTTAAGTAGAAATGAACTGTCCATCTTAACGAACAGACTGTCTACATTCACGCCCTCCCTGCAGACACTGTTGCTGAGGAAAAACAAGATTGCCCACCTGCCCTCAGGTTTCTTTTCTGAAGCCAGAGGCCTGGCCCACCTCGATTTGCACTCCAACTTGATAAGGATGATCAACAGATCCACGCTGGAGACCAGGACCGCCACCAACCTGTCTGTTCTGGATCTGGGGAGAAACCCTTTCGACTGCACATGTGACATTGGTGATTTCCGAAGATGGATGGATGAGAATCTGAACGTCACCATCCCTAGACTGACAGATGTCACCTGTGCCAGCCCGGGAGATCAACAGGGCAAGTGTATCGTGAGTCTGGAGCTCACCACGTGTGTCTCAGACACGATTGCAGCCATCTTGTTTTTCTTCACGTTCTTCATCACCACGACAGTCATGGTGACCGCCCTGGTCCACCACTGGTTTTACTGGGACGCGTGGTTTATCTACCATGTGTGCTTAGCAAAGCTAAAAGGGTACAGAACTCTTTCCACATCCCAAAGTTTCTATGATGCTTACGTTTCTTACGACACCAAAGATGCCTCCGTCACAGACTGGGTGATAAATGAGCTGCGGTACCACCTAGAGGAGAGTGAAGACAAAAATGTGCTCCTTTGTCTGGAGGAGAGGGATTGGGACCCAGGATTAGCCATCATCGACAACCTCATGCAGAGCATCAACCAAAGCAAGAAAACCATATTCGTCTTAACAAAAAAATACGCCAAGAACTGGAGCTTTAAGACGGCGTTCTACTTGGCCTTGCAGAGGCTGATGGAGGAGAACATGGACGTGATTATTTTCATCCTACTGGAGCCAGTGCTCCAGCACTCTCAATATCTGAGGCTGCGGCAGCGAATCTGTAAGAGCTCCATCCTCCAGTGGCCGAACAACCCCAAGGCGGAAGGCTTGTTCTGGCAAAACCTGAGAAATGTGGTCTTAACTGAAAATGATTCACGGTATAACAAACTGTATGTTAATTCTATTAAATAATACTGGCTGATGGGAAGTCGAGTGCGGTACCTTATTAAAAATGCAGAGCAGCTGCTCTTCTGGCTCACGATCTAACAAATTGCCCCTCGACTTGGTGGCTTAAAACAATGATTGTTTATCTGTGTACAGTTTAGGGGGAGCTTGTCTAGGTGCTCTGCTTCGGGACCTCTCACAGACTGCAATCTGGGTGTGGCCTTGGACCGCAAGCATCCTCCTAGCGAAACACCCACTTCCAAGAGCACACGTGTGTGGTTGTTGTCAGGATTCAGTTCCTCTTGGGCTGTGCACCAAAGCCTGCTCCCAGTTCTTTGCCACATGCCCCATCCCCCAGCATGCCACCAAAAAGAGAGCATCAGCCACCAAGATGTAAGTGGCATGACTTTACAGTTCAGTCACAGGTATTAATAGTATTGCCATATCTGATTTTTCCCCTCCAGAGGTGAATCATAGGTCTCAACCATAATTTAAGGGAGTGATCACCGTTGATGACCAAGGTAAAGGTTGTGTGCCTTAGTCCAGGGACAACATTGGATCACAGGGATGAAGAGTCATAATTTTCTCAGTCCTGGGAAAACAGTCTATGCCTAGGATGGCAGGCTTGAACACCAAGGTTCAGGGGAAACAGTCAATGACTAACACCACTGCTGTCGTTCTCTCAATCCAGGGGAAATAGTCGATGACCAAAATGGTGGGGTGTGATTGCCTTGGTCTAGGGAAAATTGTTGATGGTCAAGATAGGCACCAGTGGAGTAACTGGATGTGGGGGGCTGGTGCACATCACACCAGATAACACTGTCAGAGAGGATGACACCAAAGTAACTATAAAAATGAAATGCAGTATTTCAGCAGACATTTGCTATTTCTTATAAAAACAGACCCATAGGTAGTTAAACCAGCACAAAGCTATTTTTTTGCTAAACCTAGCTTACTACATAGGGTCGCTATGAGTCGCAGGCGACTCGACAGCACATAACAGCAACAACAACAGCTTACGTGCATCACTGTATCTCAAAGGCTAAAGCTCTCTGCTAATTTCCTTTTTGCATGTTCTCACACATTCCAGAATAATTGGTGGAGCAGCAGTTAAGGCATTTGGCTGCTAACCAAGAAGGTCCACTATTCCAATGTGCCAGTCACACAGTAGGAGAAAGATATGAGGGTTTGCTTCTATAAATACTTAGCCTGGGGAACCTTGTGGGGCAGTTCTCCTCTACCCTCGAGGGTCACTGAATGAGAGTGGACTCAACAACAGCAGGATTGGTTTCGGTAATATCATCCAGGGCTGTCATTATTGCCCAATTACAGTGAGGCTTCAAAGAACATGGTTCATCTGTACACACTACAGTTGTGCTCTTGGTTTTGTTGCTGCTGGTGTTTTTGTGTCACATTTTCTGTTTTAGCTCCAGTATTGTGGGAAGTAGTTCCACCAAACAGATCCAGCCCTGTATATGCTCATTCATCTATGCCAAGAAGTTTGGAAGATAGCTTACCTGATCACCTGACTGGAAGAGATTCTTTTAAAGAAAAAAAAGTGGTCCAACAGCATGCAGAATTTATCAAATAATATCATGTGCTGAAAGTAAAATCTTGCTTAAGATTATCGGCAGGGAACTTCAGGCATTCAAGCTGGATTCAAAAGAGGCCATGGAATGAGAGATACTATTGTTTATGTCATATGAGTCTTGGCTGAAAGCAGAGAATCCCAGGAAGATGTTGACTTGTGTCTTACTGTCTATGCAAAGACATTTGACCATGTGGCTCATGACAAATTATGGACAACATTGAAAAGAATAGGAATCTCAGATCACCTAACTAGGATCATAAAGCAAGAAGCAGTTTCCCCAACAGAACAAGTGACCACTGTCTGGTGTAAAATCAGGAAAAGTGTATGTGAGAGTTGTAGCTTTTCTCCATCTCATCAATTTGTATACTAAGAAAATCACTTGAGAAGCTGAACTCTGTGAAGAAGCATGTGGCTTCAGGCTGAGGAAGAGCATTATGCAGATGATACAACTTTGCTAGAAGAAAGTGAAAAGAAGACTTGAAGCACTTAATGAAGATCAAAGGCTACAGCCTTCAATATGGATTTTACATCTCAACATCAAGAAAACAGAAATCCTCACTACTGGACCAATAGGCAACTAGATAGATAGATAGATAGATAGATAGATAGATAGATAGATAGATAGATAGATAGATAGATAGATAGATAGATAGAAGACTGAAATTGTATTTCAACTTATTTAGCTACACAGTCAATACCTTTGGTACCAGCAGTCAAGAAATCAAGACGTGTGGTGGCATTGTGGAAAATCTGCTGTCAGGGACCTTGCCAAAGTGCTAGAGAGCAAAGATGTCACTTTAAGGAATAAGGTGCACCTTATCCAAGTCAGGATGTTTTCAATTACTTCCTATGCATCTGAAAGTTGGACAGTGACTAAGGATAACAGAGAAAGAATCCATGCCTGTGAATTGTAGTGTTGGTGAAGAGTATTCAATATCCCATTGACTGCTAAAAGAACGAATAAATCTGTCTTGGAGGAAATGCAACCAGGGTGCTCCTTAAAGGCCTGGATTTTGAAGCTTTACCTCTCATCTGTGAGTATGTTGTTGAGAAGGGCCAGTCCTTGGGAAAAGACATCATGCTGGGAAAGGTAGAGGATCAGTGAGAGAGGAAAAGACTCTCAATGGGATGCATTCACACAATGACTGTAATAATGGGCTCAGGTATATCAGAGTTGGTGAGGAAGGCATAGGATAGGACAAGGTTCGGATCTGTTGTTTATAGGGCTGCTAGGCATGGTAGTCGACACAAGGACACCTAAGAAGAACAGTGTTTGTGAATATATCAAGAACTCTTGAGGGGGAAGTAGTAATGAAAAGAAAGCTACAAGTAAACAGGCTTCATTTGGTTACTAATAATGTTTCCTTTAATGTCAAAAGTTTTTCAAATAAAACTTTTTTATTTTCATGTAATCTGAGAAATCATGTATTCATGCAATCTGAGAAATCTTACATTTAAACTATTTACAACTGTATCACATATTAGTGATATGTCAGGGCACAGAGATGGCACCATGAGTAACTGTAGTGGGTGACAATAATCCTAGCTGGTCCCATTGATGACATGACTGCCCCAGTTGAGGGAAAGTAATCCATAATGGAGATGGCATCTATAATGGCCTCAACCAGGAATAACCATCAGTGACTGACACGGAGCACCATGATCACTTCAGTTAAGGGAAAACAGTCGATGACCAACATTGTGGCAGTGATAGCTTCAATCTAGGAAAAATAGTCTATGGCTGAAATGGGAGTTTGTGATCACCTCAGTCCAGAGAAAATGGCCAGTGACTAAGACGAGATGCCCCGATAGCTTTAATTCAGGTGAAATAATCTGTGATCAAGACAACAACCATGACAGCTTCAGTCTAGGGAAAACTTTTGGTGACTGAAATGAGAGACCATGATCACCTCGAGACTGACTTCCTCAGTCTAAGGAAACCCCCTTCTGCTGTGACAGCTCAGTGTTGGGTAAACAGCCTGTGACTGGGACAGTGAATCTCACCCCTGGAGAGCTCATGTAGTTCAGAGTAGAACTGTATACCTCACTGGATTTTCAACGGCTAATTTGAAAAAAAGATCACCAGGCATTCCTTCCGAGGCACCTCAGGTGGGCTCTGTCAACCTTTCTGTTAGAAGCTGAGCACGTTAATCATTTACACCACCTTATGATGCCAAGTCCCAATTAGGTGTCTCCTTGTACTATCTTGTAAGTCTTGTTATATGGACAGTACCTGGATAGAAAGAGTGTCTATGAACATGTAGGTCTTCCCTCAATTGTAAGCTCCAGAGATCATGAAATGTGCATTTTCCCCGTCACTGTGCACCCAGTATTCATCGCCATGTTGTTGGGTACCATTAAGTTGTAATCAACCCATAGCTGACCCTCCAGCAGGTTTTCTGAGGCAGTACATCACACGGAATGAGTTTGTCCATCCTTCTCTAGAGCAACTGGTGAATTCATACTATGTGCCTTTGCAGTTGCAGTGCAGCTTCTTACCATATTTGATACCCGAAAAAAGGTTCTCAAGAAATAACAGTCAAATTAATGAATAGGTATGTTCGGGCATCACAGATGCATATGCGCGCTTCTCTAGAACTGCTCCTTCCCCCTCTGTTTAAGCCTTTCCCACTCCCGGGAGCAAGCATGAGGTGGTCTCTCAACCATCTCTGATGCCATGATGCAGATTCCATGAGGCACTGACCCTTGGCAGGAATAATTTACTTTCTTACTTAGATGTTGGGCTGTGGTGCAGAGCAAGCTCAGCATAAACCAAGAAGCACCCCAGGGAGGTGGTGTTGAAGAGTGTGTATGCTGAGTGCAACTGTGTAGGAGTCACAAGCTGGACCATAACAATATTTGATAACAGTGAGTCTGAAACTTGGCCAAGAAGACAGCCTCTGGCTGTGTCTACAGGGCATCGTTCAAAGAATCTGTGGTACCATTCAAAGCAGAATTTCCCAAGGTCAATCCACACCATGTTAAAAGGACTCCACCAAAAACACCATGAAGTAAGTTTATAAACTACTTGCTTCTTGCATTGTTATAGTGTGCATAAGCAAGAAACCTTTTTTTTTTTGTAATGTTTCTAGAAGTTTCTCTGGTATCAAAAGGAGCACCACACTTATTTGGCATAGATTCCTTTTCTGGAAAAGCATCTCATGGAACAAATAAGCTCTCTCACATGCTCTCTCTAGAAATGCCTGTTTGGTGGCCTGATAGAGATTTGTCCTGCCAGGTGAGTGAGTGAGTCCCCAGCAATTTCCCAGGTGCATGATGGCAGGCACTATTCTGATGTGGATGCTCTGTTTTAAAAATGAAGAATAACCCAGGCCCCCTGCAGTTCAGCCTTTATATCCAGCCCTTATTTTGGCTTCTTGAGTTCGTCTTACTAAGCCTTTAGAGGAGGGAGAATTTTTTGGAGAGAAGTGACAAG